TCTTATTGAGTACTTAGTGATGAATGTGAGCTTTGCTGGACGACATTATCCTGAAAATCCTGACGAAAAAAATTATTAGTTACTACTCTTTTAACACGTTAATATTCTTTCATTCTTTCTCATTCAATTTGTAATTAAAATGATTCAACTTTGTATTAATAACAATTGAAAAGCAAAGATTGGATACTTATTAATTTAATAGAATTCAGTCATTAAAAAAAAGACCCTACTGGAAATTCATTTTTAAAGACAAAAAGATTAATCATGATTCTTTAATAAGATATTTGACTCTACATATTGAACAACCCATGGGTGATCCCATTGTCAAAGCCATTGCAAGACACATAACATAAGTCTAGCAAACATGTTACTTTGACTCAAAAACCTACCCATCGCAAAATGTCTTCTTATACATGATCTCTAATATAATGTGTGTACGGAACACTTTTTTTTAATGGAAAGTATCAAATTTTTCAATCATGCAAAATATGAAATTAGATCAAGCTATTCAATGATATTCTCATTGGATATCATTCTGTATTATCATTGTGTGATTATATTGGTTAGTGTAAGGAGGAAGTCTGAGATTGTCACATTCCTCCACTAACGTTTCATTCATCATATATGTATTCAATATATTCTAGCCTACAGAGATTCATATATACAATGCACTCAAGGATACGCATTGAATATTAAGAGTATTAATACTGCTTTGTCCAATTATAAAATGTTTATTAATTGTATTAGTAGTAGAAAATGCTATGTATAAGAAGACCCTATCCTAGCTAAGAAATACAATTTATCAATGTTACTACTCGAAGGTATGATAGCATACCCATGTTCACTGTACTCACCAAATTTAGCATATATACAACCAGTTGCCCGTGCCATGTTGGACTAATTGTCCTATGGCATGATTAGGCACTGGAGGAATAAAAAAGGCATGCAAAGACTCACCCGATGATAGAAGGGCCTACAGTCATTGCTAGTAGAACTTCACAGTAGGATGTCCGTTTTAGTGTTTGACTAAAAACAGAAAGACAAGACAAATTTATTATACTCAATATTATTATTATTGATAAATGTTACACGCTACTTATTTAGTTTATAATATTTATGTATTATGTTCTAGCATAATACATAACTATGCTGTAAGCATGTTTGTTTTTTTATTTAATCCACATCCTGCTTTTGTACATATTCAGAAAATCCTTACAAATACCAACATTGCATTAGTTACGCATACTTTGATACAAAGCATCATAAACTACACAGCTTGTATAAATCAAATTTATATCCGAAACTGTATATAAATGCAAATACAATAATCTCATACGGAAAGACACGAGAAATTGTTTATTTTAATACGATTTTACGACCGAGACACAGTAAATCACAAACATTTCAAATTGGAAATGTTTGTGGTTTACTGTATATTGTTATACTATATATGTATATTGTTGTACTGCATATTGTCGTTTAAATTTGTTAACATTCAAGGAAGCCATTTTGAATGCTTCAACTAAATGTATGAATTGAAAAAAGTGCACGAAAAAATTCTCATTTGATCTTAATACAAACCACGAAATCACGATTATTTCACTTACGGTTAAAAACAATATAAGAATAAGTAATGAAGTGTCACTTTGTTGTTATAATAAATGTTATAATAAATGTTCAATAACTTACCAGGATTCACCACTTTCCCGCCGAATTCCGTTTGAAGGGACTCAACGATACTCAAGACGGTAGTGCGTACTTCGAAGCGGAAACTCTGAAACAGAAAATAAACATGCATTTTAAGTAATTGCACAACGTTAAGAATAGTTACGTTACAAATGAACAATTATTGAACTCGTGATGTGTCGCAAAGATTTCAAATTGAGTCAGAAATACGTAAACATTATATTAATTAGTACACAGTGAAACCGAAAAGTAAAGCGATAACTACGGTATCGAATTAATTTGGGATTATTTAGTCTATATTGAATAAATATTAAAGGACAGTAACGATAGAAAGCTAATGAAGGTACTAGTAATTAATATATATGAATAAAGGTGAAAAGTAAATGTCAAACACTCACTTTAGTACGAGCAAACAACTTCTACGTCTTATTGTGTCAACTTCTCCGAGACGAATGACACTTCGGTTACACTCGACCGGTCTCGAGCAGTTCATTCGGCTATCTTCGGGGAATTGCGAGTAGCTGATTGTCAGGTCAGAGCGGTAGCTTCCCGCCTAATCGACTTGGCGGGAACAACATGTGCACCACTCCAGTTTAAACGACGAATGTAATACTTCAAAAAACATAATGCCAAAAATATATATGTATTTCGTCACTTATCCAAAACAATAACTTATTAAATGTCCGTTAATACGTATATACAGAATACTAAATTTATTCAGACTTTACTTCATGGGAAGCATGATCTGGGAAACTAACATATTTCTCGTTCTTGTAGATGAAAGCCAATGTCAAGGATAATAACAATCAAACGCTGATCGAAGAATTTCTACAGCGTCATATATCGGAAAAATTCTCATTTGATCTTATCACAAACCACGAAATCGCGATCATTTCACTTACGGTCAAAAAGAATAAAAACGCAACAATATAGAAATATATAATGAAGTGTCACTTTTTTGTTGTAATAACTTACCAGAGTTCACCAATTTCCCGCCAAATTCCGTTTGAAGAGAGTGAACGATACTTAGGGCGGTAGTGCATACTTCCAAGCCGAAACTCTGAAACAGAAAATAAACATGAATTTTAAGTAATTACATTACATTAAGAATAGCTACGTTACAAATTAACAATTATTGAATTCGTGGTGTGTCGCAAAGATTACAAATTGGATCAGAAATACGTAAATATTACATTAATTGGTACACAGTGAAACCGAAGACTAAACCGATACCTAGGTATTGTATTAATTTGAGATTATTTAGTTTAAATGGGATAAATATTAAAGGACAGTAACGATAGAGAGCTAATGAAAGTATTAGTAATTAATATACATGAATAAAGATGAAAGGTAATTGTCAAACACTCACTTTGGCAGGAGCAAACAACTTCTGCGTCGTATCGCGTCAACTTCTTCGAAACGAATGACACTTCGGTTACATTCGGCCAGTCCCGAGCGATTGATTCGGCTATCTTCGGGGAATCACGAGTAGTTGATTGGTCAGAGCAGTAGATCCCCGACTAATACGACTTGGCGGGAATATACATGTGCAGTAATCCAGTTTAAAAGATGAATGTACCACTTAACAAACTCCTTGAAGAATCTATATACCTGATACAACCATGAGACAGCGGGTAATTGGCGCATGTTAATTGATCAGTTTCCGGAAATTTGGCCCAGTTTATAGAATAGAATTTTTCTCTTACCTCAATTTGTATGAAATTAAATAACAATACATTAAATATTTTCGACAGTAGAATATTGATAGCAATCACATTTTCGGAGGTATTTGTTAAATATTCTATCAGCTATTTTGTAATGCAAATAGTTATTACTTATAAGAAGCAGAAATCGAAATATACGGAAACTTGTGAGATATGGATCGTTTTATGCACTTTAACCTGCAGTAAATTTTATTTTATTGTAAATTATTAAACAACGACCATGTCTGAATGTTTATGGCGATGTTAACTAAATATTATGTAATTTAAATGTGTTTCAATAGAGCTTTATGCGAGAAATACGTAAAAATTTAGGAATTCTTCAATCGACGTTTGATTGCGATTGTCCTTGAGAATGACTGTTACATATTTTAGAATACATTTTTCAGTTTATATCAATTCGCGCGAAATTATTTCACAACAAAGTGAATATTTTCGGCAATATAATATTTACAACAATCACATTTTGGGGATATGTTGCCAAAGATGTAAGATGTGGATTTACGAATAAAACATAGTTAAAATCATTTAAATAAAATAATTAATATGTCTTATTTCGCGAAAATAATAAGACGTGGTTGTTATTGAATAATTTGTGATAGAATGCAAATTATTAATTTGCAAAAACGTCATTGCAATATCTACATCTTACATTTCATTCTATATTTCGATTACCATTGGTTATAATTAACAACAATTTGCATCATAAAACACCTGGCGAAATGTTTAACAACATATCCCGAAGATGTGATGGTTATAAATATTACATTGCCGAAAACATTCACTTTGTTGTGAAATCATTTCGCGCAAATTGATATAAACCAAAAACTCTATTCTAAAGTATATAACAGTCATTGTCAAGGACAATAACTATCAAACGTCGATCAAAGAACTCCTATTCGCGAAAAATTTCTACGAATTTCTCGTACAAAACTATACTAAGGTATATTTAAATTAAATAACTTTTAGTTAACAATTGCCACCAACATTACGACACGGCTATTGTTTAATAATTTACAATAAAATAAAATGTATTCCACGTGAAAGTTCATAAAATGATCCATACCTTGCAAGTAAATTAAAATCTCTGTAAATGACAATAAAAAAAATTCAAACATTCTATTAAGTTTGCTCCATTAAATAAAACAACTGTTATATAAAACATTTTTTCGTATTCGTAATAGTTAGATTACTATAATAGCATATATACATTTATACCGGGCCTACATTGTATACATATGTGTCAAACTGCCGTTCAGGCCGGGCGAGAAAAGCAGAACATTCTTCCTTGCTTGCCTTGCTAGCGAAACCGGGACAATAAGTGTGTTTGTATCGCTATATACAGTCACGAGTGTGTGTGCTGTGCGTCTCATGGTGTCCAACGTAGTTCCTAAAGTCGGAAACTTTTATGTAGAGTGCGCTCGAATTAGCGTGATTTTCTTGGGACACCAAGACCAAGTCCCATAAGATGTTAGATCCAGTTAGATCTATTCTTATATCTCGTCTGTGGTAATATATAAAACTGTATTCTTTCTTAGATTGTTTACTGTTGTTATACTGAATAGGTTATAGTCTATTACGTTTGTTTGATGAGGTGCTTGACTCATCAAAGTAAAGAGGAAGTTAACTTGGAATTGTTCATAAATTTATAAAAAATATTTTATAAGAACAATGTCGGCTGAGCAAGGTTCCAACGGAAATCTTAATCCGGATGATACGTTTAAGATTTTAATTGCAACCGATATTCATCTCGGTTTTTCTTATAACAAAAGAAGGGGTTGGTTTTTTTAAAAATATTATTCAAATAATATGTTTAGTTTCCCTTCCAATTTAAATTTATTAAAAGACCTTTCTGATGTTATAATTATAATGCAATTTTGTTTGTGAAATATGTTTTTATTCAGAATGTTGTAGTCTACAACATTATATCAATAGTTTTTACCTTCTGAGCATAGTATTATGAATTGCATTTGTATACTAAAGTTGATTAATGTGTATTAGGACAGGAATTAGATGATAGTTTTGTAACTTTTGAAGAAATACTACAATATGGCAAAGAACACGAAGTAGACTTTATACTTCTTGGTGGAGATTTATTTCACGAAACAAAACCATCACAGATTGCAGTAATAAAGTGTATGGAATTATTAAGAAAATACTGTTTAGGTTCCAGGTTAGCAAAATACATTCATATCATAATGAGATTAATTTATATAGAAACTTTAAATATACATTCTTCATTAGGGAAATCAAGGTACAATTCCTAAGTGATCCAGAAGTTGTATTTAAGCACTGTACTTATAAAAATGTAAACTATGAAGATCCAAATTTCAATGTCAGTATGCCAATATTTTCTATTCATGGAAACCATGATGACCCAAGTAAGAAACATGATAGTAATATTCCTATCTTAATATCTCTTTAATGCATATTTGAATTCTTGTTAACCAATAATAAAATTGTAGGCTTTGGAGCTGTTGGATCTATGGATTTATTATCAGTATCCGGCCTAGTAAATTATTTTGGAAAATGGACAGATCTTACTCAAGTTACTATTCCTCCATTAGTAATGAAAAAGGGTGAAACCCATGTTGCACTTTATGGTTTAAGTTACATAAATGATCAAAGATTATCACGGTTGATAAGAGATTATAAGGTAAAGTTGTAAGACATGTATCTGAATTAAAATCTTTACTTTTATGTGAATGGTCTTTCTTTGTAGGTGGATATGTTACGCCCAAAAGAAATACCAAATTGTTTTAATATATTTGTTTTACATCAAAATCGTGTACAGCGTAAACAGTATGCATATGTTCCGCAACATAAACTGCCAAATTTTCTTGATCTTATCATATGGGGCCATGAACACGAGTGTCGTATTACACCAGAGTTTATATCAGAGGGTGAATACTTTATTTCTCAACCAGGTATAGTTCTATTAATTGAAATGTATTAAAGCATAAAATGGTCGTGAAACTTTTTTGTAAAAACTGCAATTGCAGGTAGCTCCATTGCAACTTCCTTATGCAGTGGTGAAGCAAAACTTAAACACATTGGTCTGCTGAGCATAAACGGAATGAAATTCAAAATGAAGAAATTAAGGCTGCAGACTGTCAGGCCTTTTGCATTTGACAATTTGGTTCTTAAAGATGAGGATATACCAAAAAATTATACTCAGCCACTCTCTGAATCTGTGTATAATTTTGTTGATAACCATATAGAAAATGTATTAATACCTAATGCTGCAAAACAACTATCAGGTCATCCTATGCAACCAATACAGCCATTGATTCGTTTAAGAATATTTTATAGCGAAGAAGACGAAATGTTTGATGTGATTAAGTAGGATTGTATTAAATGTATACATAACTAAAAGTCATAAATAAATACTGTTAATACATGAAACAGTATATTTCAGAATGGCACAGAAATACTGTGAAGAAGTTGCTAATCCTATGGACATGATTATATTTCGTAAAGCCACAAGCTACGATAAGAAATCAAGGTCTAGTCTTGACAATATTAATGACGATCTCGAGGACATCGCTCGAGCTCTCTGTTACAATGATGTAAGTAAAAGTTTAATTGTTTCACTAATATTGAAATATAAAATTTTGTTGTGTTTCTTATTAGGAAGAAGCAGATTGGAACACAACTGTACAAGGAGAAGTAAAAAAGCACTTTACTTCAGAACAAAATAAAGATAAATTAACGGTACTAACAGTGAACGGCTTAAACGAGGCATTAAACAGATTTATTGACAGAGGAGATAATGATGCTTTTGAGAATTTAGTATGGTATAGTGCAATTAAATATCTTAAGATATTTATTTATGTTTATAAATCTGATCATATTATCTTATTATTATTAACTTTTTATGTTCAGCCATCAAATGAAAAAAACGGTCACGTATTTGGAAACTTGTGATATTGATGCTGATGGAGATATCACTGCACAGATTAAAAGTTTTCGAGATAAAAGAACAGCGAAAGCACAAGAAGAGGAAGGGGAAGTATGTAGACTAAGAGGCTCCTTACAAAATAGTTACACAAAGTTTCTTGTTAAACACTAGATAATTATATATTATATTATAGATACGCCAATTTTTTAACAGTGAAAATAGAACAACAAGAACAGCTATCTGTGACTTATTTAAAGATATCGAAAGTCACAATAGTAGTGAAGATAAAACAAATAAAGTTCCTGCTACTAGAGGTAAAGGTAGAGGTACAGGCACGGGAACTAGAGATAAGGGTTCACCAGGTGGTCGTGGCAGTGCTAAAACAAGTAATAAAGATTCTCTTCATGTAACAACAACACGCCCGTCTAGAGTTACAAAACCGACAAAAAAACAGGTATGTTGAATAATGTTCAATTAATTAATTTGTACTTTATATGTTACTTCCGTTTTACTTAAACATTATTTTTTCATGTTCTATTTCATTAGGATCAAACAACATTACAAACCGTCATGGTTACATCATTAAGTCAACATAAGCAATCTTCAACAAAAGTCACGTTTATAAATGATTCTGATTCTGATTAAAGTATTCGTTGTACAAATATCTTTCTGAAAAAATGTATTAAACTTTATATTGGAATAAATTATCTTTTTTTTAATATGAAATATGTATACACTTTACTTAAAAAATAAAGATGATATAAAGGACATGATTATATGAGCGTAACTTATATTTCGATTTTCGATACTATCGAAGTTTACCTCGAGTGCGCGCGCCGGAAGATATCTTCCTTTAGACTTCCTGCTCTGATCGTGTTGTGTCGGGGAGTGTTCAGTAGATCTAATTTACAGGTATTCTATCAGAAAACTTAACGTTATATGAAAAATAATAGGTCGAATCAACAAAAGAAATGTACTTACATAGATCATGATTAAGATATCTATCACCGACTCGTTTAATATCAGGATGCAGTTGGATGAAATTTACGTCATGAAAGTCTTATGCTTTCTGGACGCTGTCAAACATAACCTGAAAATAAGTCCACATTGTTTACGTTGATTGACTTCAGTCGAATAAATAACAAAGTTAAACATATTCCGAATCATCGTGAAAACGTATGTTCAATGAAATAATGGAATAATATTTTATATAGAAATGCCGCCGAAAAGAGGAAAGGTACAGAAGGAAGAAGTTCAAGTCTCTCTTGGACCTCAACTTCGCGAAGGGGAAGTTGTCTTTGGGGTTGCTCACATTTTTGCAAGTTTTAACGATACCTTTGTTCACGTGACCGATCTTTCGGGCAGGTACATTTTAAAATAATATATAACATTAGCAATTAATACGTTACAAACATAATTACATGTACTGATATTTCTTACAGAGAAACTATTGCCAGAGTTACTGGTGGAATGAAAGTCAAAGCAGATCGTGATGAAGCTTCCCCATATGCTGCTATGCTTGCTGCTCAAGTAAGTTTGTTTATTGAATTACATAATAATGTATCCACATTCAGGCAGCACTTAGATGTTCATATTGTATTCATAGGTGCGTTCATGTATGTGGTACATTAAATTTCTTCCTTATGATGGAGATAAGATTATCCAAACTACATTTCTTTATCTGGAAGAAAACACTTTATACAAAAAATCTTAAGACATTAATTAGTAACTTTATTATTGGTAATGTTAATGATGTTATTATTGAACATTAATAGGATGTAGCAGAGAAGTGCAAATCCCTTGGAATCACAGCACTTCACATTAAATTAAGGGCTACAGGAGGAAACAAAACGAAAACACCTGGCCCTGGTGCGCAGTCTGCTTTGCGTGCACTCGCTCGTTCTAGCATGAAGATCGGTCGCATAGAAGATGTAACACCGATTCCATCTGACTCTACGCGTAGGAAGGGTGGTCGCCGTGGACGTAGGCTGTAAATTATGGTTCTATGCGTGGTTTATTATCTTTCAAAAATAAATATTTAAAAAAGAAACGTGTTATTTTATTATATTCTGCTAATACGATATATACCAGCTCTGCTCTATACAGTATTCAGATACTAACTTTTTCATATATCATGAATCCATCCCAAACATGATGCATGTATATTACTTACAACAAAACATTAAATATTTATTTGGTTTATATCGAATGGTAGAAAAATTAAAGAACAGATTAATTAATATTATTTGAGGAATCAATATAAATTAGTTAATTATTTCAATGAGTTTGAATTAGATAATATGAAAGTGGTTATATGAAATATTTGTGTTCTTTATACTGTAATGACTTTCTATAACAAACATTACACATTGCTAACAATATTTCCCACAGTGAGATACAATTTCACTTTTAAATCCAACTTTTGAGGCGTTTTATGTTCTAATGTTGTGATTGTGTTCACGTGTCCATACTGCATAACAAATCCAATAATGACTGACTGATCTTCACCGCCCGTCGAATTCTCGTGTGGTGTCACATGTAGCTTTATTACCGCTTTGTTTCCCTTCCGCCAAACCACAAGCCTTCAACAGAAATTTAATATTTCAATAATTTCAATTATATAACGAAATACGATAGAAAGTATAATAGTAAGAAATGGCAGTAGTGGATGCATACTTAGGGTCATCTTGAAAATTATGAGTATCTCCTGTATCGTCATACTCAGCGGTATCATCTCTGGGTGGAAGTATCAAAGAAGCATGAGGTAAAAGTATATCTGCGTTCGCATTAACTTTTATAGATTTAATTTCTTCTGTTATAGACACTTGTCGTACGATAGAAGGCAACAAATTCGGAGATTCTGAGCCCTGTATAATACATTATTTTTATATTTATATTAAGAAACACAAATTTAGTCATCCCTAAGTTAAGAAATTCATCCTTATTTATTCTTATTTCCTGCAAAATTGCTCCTTAGTAATACAAACAGAATATTTACCTGTTGTATATTTTCTTGTTTAGAATCTTCTTTTTCACTAGCAACATCTACTGGAGTCATTGATGTATCCAAAGATAGCAATGTCACTTGAGTTTGATGTCGAGTTGGATTACAAAATTTCAAAAGCAGTTCGCTTGCTTTACCCGGTCGGAGTGGTTCGCAAGTAACAATCCTTACCTCCGGTACATGATAACTAGAACATAAATATCATATATATATATACGAAATGATCTAATGAAAAAAAGATACATGACATATACTGTTAACTTACAATGCAGCAAGCTGAATCTTGAACTTTATAGACTGTGGACAAAGATCTGGTTTACTAACACTATGTTCACAGACCCTACAACGCTGTGATCTCCTGACTAAATATTCCCTATGCTGTGGGCGTAATTCATTCACTTTCTCTGCTTGGACATCCAAATGTTGTAATCTTTGCTCCAGTGTTGTAACTATTTTCAAAAATGAGTTTTTAAACGACCAGAGAATTTTACAATAATGCTTTAATAATATCATTTTAAATAACTGATTACTTTTAGTTATATCCACTGGATCTGTAAAGATCTCTGCTGGTAGTTCATCTACGTCTTCACTAGCAACAGATGGTGGAGGCTGATCACTTGACTGATTCTTAGCAGGTGTCTCCGAAGGATGACCAATCCGTTTACGAACCATAGCAGATGTTATAGTAAACATGGCCTAAAATTAAATAGCATAAATGAAATATATATTTCTTACATAAAAATACGAAACAAAAGTTACTTAAATACTTTACATGCATATAAGGACGCTTTGCTCGAAATTTCTTCTCACATTGTTGCTTCTCTATCGAAGCTAATATTCTATGGTAATCAATTAAAGCACTGATACGACTGATATGAGGATTCTCCTGTTCAGGCCAACCTCCAGTAGCTAAACAAAACACACAATTAAAACTTTTACTAAAATGGAAAAATATAATAAGGTTCTTCTAATAATTAGTTATAGAAAATGTTTATTAAATAGATACCATAACCAAAACAATGACATTATAAATATTTTGATTACCTACCAACAGATTGATCTGGGATACCAGCATCTCTAGAAGTCCATCTACATAATGAACAGAACAAATAATAAAATTTCTTTGGTGTTGTTTTAACATCTTTGGAATCTTCTCCTTCTTGAGGTGCTGTTCTAAAGGGTACATGTCCCGCTCTTGTAGATAAAGTATGGAAACAACAAGGACATTTGAAGCAATTTGAACACCTGTCAACATATTACTTGAATCAATATAAAGTTCAATGAATAGCATATTAGACAACAGACTTCTGGACAACTACAACTTACTTATTTTTCTTGAGACGTGCTTCCGTTTGCGGAAAATTTTCCATACAATTAGGACAATAATGCGTATCGATCTGTCAATAAAAACAATTATATATTCAAAATTGGATGACAATGACAAGCACGGTATGATTTTACTAAATAATTACCTCTTGACAGACGCAATAACCGCAACGAATTTTCGAACAATGTCTGCAGAAATAAGTTTTTGAAATTGGTTTCAAAGAGCCACAGTTGCATACGTAACGCACGTAATCGGGCTGATTTAAGTACGACATGATTAAACACTTAATTTCAATTTTATTCTTAAAAAAAATACGGATTTAGGTCTGGAATAACACTTCGAGTAATCTGTCCACTACTGTCAGTCTGTCCACTTTCGAGCTTTCTTCAAGCCATCTTTATTTAGTTACCTGCATAGCGACAAGTGCGGCGAACTTATGAAGTGAAAATTTAAAATCCCTAATAACTTCGTCGTTTCTAATTTAGGTTTACTTGAAAGATTTTTTCTTATTAAGAAACAAAGCTTCTTCACTATTAATCTGCTAATATGTATCTAAATATGTTCCTTTGAAGTTTATGAATTTTCAATAAGTAACCAATTGCTTCCCCGCTACGTTATTAAGCACATAAGCATACGTAATATATATATAAGTAAGTACATATATGTACATATAATATATTTGGCTTCGTAGGCAATTGAACATTCATGTAGTTTTTTATAATACTACTTTGAATAATATTAAAAAACTCTGTTAAATAACAGTGTTTCGTTAGCGTTATTCTGAACATTCTGACGCTAGACATCGTGGAAAGCCGTCCACTTTGGTTCTTACAAATTTTGTGTTTAACTTTTACAATTTAACCTCCGAAACGTGATCAACGATGTTTATGCGACAGTCGTTGAAAGTAAACAAATTTATTCGTTTAAAGCCACACTATTTGGTAATAAGGAATTTGCAAAAGTCAACGCAACCAGAATTGGAATATAACGAAACAGTTTTTTTTTCGGAACAAAGAGAAAAGCAACCGCAAAGAAAACCTTTTCTGAAGAATCTTCTATTAGGAGCATTGGATACAGAAGTTTTTTCTCTTCCCGAACTTCAAACCGTAGACAGATTCAAAGATTTCGAGGCTTGGTTGAAGCCGATTGAAGATTATGTATGTAGCTGCACTGAGCCAGGCAAAGAAAAGCTAAAACGAAATGAAATATTATCGTGTCTCAAAGATCTCGACCTATTTCGAGCATACATTAGTGAAGAACATCGTGGTTTAAATTTGTCAGAAACAGAATCATTGAAGCTCATAGAAACACTGGGTATATTACCTTGGTTGAGCACATACATGGTAAAAAATGTTATGTTACCAGTTCAACTAATTTCTAAGTATGGCTCCGAGGATCAGAAAAAGAAATATTTCCCAAAGATCATAAGTGGTGAAATCGTTCCCACAATATGTCTAAAAGAAAAGACAAATGGTACCAATATTAATAATATTGAAAGTTTTGCAACATTACATGACAATTCGTGGATATTAAATGGAGAAAAATCATTTGTTGTCAATGGAGTGAATGCTAATCTGTTTTTAGTTTTTGCTCAATGTACAATGACACATATTTTTAATCCACAAGCAACGTCGTTGTTTCTAGTTGAACGTGACTTTGGTGGAATAAGTTGCACCAATATTTATGAAACAATCGGACGTCGTGAAGTACCTGTTTGTACAGTTAATTTCACAGACACAATAATACCAACGACTAACATTATAGGTGAGCCTAACAAGGCATTCAATATTATGATGGAAATGCTAAAACCTGGAATTCAGCATATAACAGGACAGTCTATAGTTATTTTAAGAAATTTCATAAATCAATTACTCGTGGATGTTCTAGAAATGAAGCACTTTGACAGGGAATTCTATCAATTTGAGAGTGTAAAAAAAGTTTTGGCTGAAGCATCCCATTCCTTATATACTATGGAAAGCATGGCTTATCTAACTATTAAGTTAGCAGATCTACATGAAAACCAAGATGTTGAGATAGAAAGAACTATCACAGAAACTTATTGTGCAAATAAATGTTTAAATTCTATTCAATCAGGATTGCAACTGTTGGGTGCACAAACATATTTGAATAAGAGTTCATATATAAACATGTATCATGATGCCTTGGCTTTCACAACACTAGATACAAATAATTTAGATGCATATGTTTATGTAGCAACAGCTTTCTTGCAATACATGGGGAAATCTGTTTTCAAGGAAGTATACAAACAAAGGAATGTTTCAAAGCATCCTTGGTACAACATATTTAAACTGTATGGAGATGCAATGCTCCGGAAACAAAAGCTTACAGATCATTTTCATCCCTCACTAACATGTAGCGTTATGTATTTCGAAGCATCTATAAATATAGTTAAAAAGAGTGTTGGCTTAATGTTGCAACGTCACGGAGCAGAGATTATGAACAAACAGATCGCACTTCTTAGAATAACATCGATGCTGACAGAAATATTTGCAATGACTGCTAATTTGTCACGCTCGTCGAGATCATACTCTCTTGGTCTTCGACATTCAGATATTGAAAAAAATTTGGCAGTGTGTGTGACATATGAAGGATTTCAACGAATTAAAAACATTGCAACAGAAATTGAAGAGAACGATGTATTAAATGGAGACATATATCGCAATCAACTCACAGATTTAATATATAGACAACGTAAATATCCCATGGAAAATCCACTCAATAGGATATTCACATAAATAGAAGTTATCTAGATTTTAGTTGATTCTAGTTTTCTAATTTAAGAATGTATGTTCATGTACATATTTATATAATAAAATTTGTAAGTAATACAATAAGTAAACATGTTTCTGTTAAGACTTCTGTATTTATGTATGAATAGCAATGTACAATTATCCTTACACTACACAAATTTAAAAATAAAATAATAACTTTTTTTACGACTGTTCTAATTGAATCTCTTAGAAAGATATTTCCAATAAACTTTATGCCAGGGATTGGAATCTTATTCTTATGCACCATTCTTTACTACGAATTTTAAAGTATACGCAAAAAGGTGGACGGTATTTTGCTACTAAAAAAACTAGTATTTTCCTAAAGTCGAAAGTTTAAAATTCTATTAAATTTATTTCATCATTCTATCACTATAATTTTTCTGCTTGAACAATAACGTGTTCTTCCCTGTATAAATCCGTTACAGACCAGCAACTTCTCAGACAAGTGTATATTAGAACAGTTCCAAATTCGATTTGGAAACTTTTTTCAGTTCTTGGTTGAAGTATCAATTTGGAAATTAATGTGGGTAAAATTTGGATTTCGAAGGTCATTTCACCGCCACAATGTCGGCATTTTCCAACACATCCACTAATAGGATATAACAGTAGCGGCGCAGAATTATCTCGTGAATATCTGAAATACAAAATAGTAAAACGATCAACTACTATAGGAACAAATATAATATAATAAAGCTTATTTAGAAAGAACATTACCGTAAGAGCTGTCCAGGATTCTTCTGTATTTGAGAAACAAAATTATGGAACATTTCATCACCATGCATAGGAATACCCTTTTCATATTTTTCTGCATCTGTTTCTATTGTCTTGCCTCCCATTGAACCTACTGTAGATTTTGGGGACAAATCTGGACTTCTGTATTGGTACTCTAGAAGTAAATCACGAACATGTTGTGGAACATCTCCACTGCTATCCTCTTCTTCAACCAACAGGAATATTTCAACAAATGAGAACTTTGTTTCAGTGTTTGACTCTAGTTGCATAGGGAATGGAGTTACTTCACGTAACAAACTAATTAAATCACATTGAGGCTGAGTTGGAGTATCAATGCAAACAACTTCACTTTCCTCTCCATCAATTTCAGCAGATGCTTGAGGGGAATCCAATCTGCCAACAGCTCCTATTCCAACTGGGGATTCTATACTTGCTGGACTGAAACAAATTTGGTTTAAGAACACGAATTAATGTATTTCTGGAAAAATAAAAACTTTTAAACAATTAGTTTTAATTTTATATCTACCTATTTGCATTAGGATCATCCACATATAATGCAGAAAGTTCTTCTCGTACATGCTCATCTATTTCTTTTTGAAAGGAAAAATTAAACTTTGTTGCATTGTTTGGCAATAAATTATTTCCATTTTGTTCTGAGGAGTTGTCATTAAAAGTATCACCCCAGTCATTTGCATCTGATAACCATGATGTTGTAGATGGCACATTTATACTACTACTATCTATTGCATTTGCTTTGCATTCATCTTCTAGAACTTGAACCCTCAGACAGGTCCAACTTTCATTGTGATTCCAACAGTTTGGGTTTATACAGGCAAAAATATAAAGTATCCGATGATACTTTGTATTATCTAATGGAACATACAGTTGTAATACCAAGAGTTGATGCAATCCACATAGTCTACATTGTGGGAATGATAATGTATTCTGCTCATAACAGTTCTATGGACAAAAACAAATTATTTAATAATAAATTGCCAGATACAAAATATAGTTGGGTTTTAATAATAACGATTATTTGTAATAATAGTGATTAGTGATTATAAGTCAAAGTAATTATAATTGTTAAAGATAAATACTGAAAACATTACTGAAACCATTGTGTTTTTGATGATATTACATATATAGAGCCTTTTACAATTGACTACGTATTACATTAAAGGAAAAAATACATTTAAATGTTGAAAAAGAATTTGATTACAGTTTCAAATTTGCCACATGTTTGAAACGAATGTTTTTAAACATAGAGCAACCACTTACTGGAAATCCGCCAATCTTGTTTGTCATAAAATTGATGCTCGACTGGTATTTGTCAGTAACATATTCATCCTCAAATCCCAGGTACACTTTCGTCTGATTATCACAAGCCATTAAAACCGCTTAAAATTATACTTCTTCATTGGAAGACTTGGTAGGACAAGGAATACTTTAATTCCCGATACAACGTTGTATTCACATCAGTACACAGCTGACATGTATCGGTTCACGCGTGCGCTTTTAACAGTGCCCTATTCCATTATCGATTTTTGAATAGTTTATGTATAAGAAAATATTACGTAAAAATATTTAAAAAATGAGAATTTATAATCTTTTCTAAATGTATTCGTGACCCATACAATTCTGGATATATCTAGCAACTTTTGTAATGAAATAAAAGGACATTCTATTATTTGCTTTTATAATTACAGCACGTGCTTATCATACGTTCTTTCTAATTCGTAATTCCAGAACGTGTTCACTAGAGATGGCGTGACCTGCTACTTGTGAATCACTCGTGATTCGATCACGTTTGTTCCCAATCACGGTGATTTTTCACAGTGATTCGTGATTTCTCGTGATCGTTTCTAATTATTGGAGAAACCTAACAGTTCTTTACACGCGACACATAATCTGTATATTTTATATTAATGACATCAAAACAAAAATTCGAGTTATATCGTATAAAGTGAAGGAATAATTAGAAACAATGAAGAATAATGAATAAATTAATGATTATAAATTATAATCTACATGTTACCTAGCAAATCATTTTTTTAGAATTTCTTGTTTTTTCTGCTGATTTTTACAAACACGAATAGTAATGTAATTATCGTAAAATCATATTGAATACGTTTTTCTGTTTAAAGATCAAGGACTTACGAGCGCAGTGAGCAAATTCATTCAAGATAAAATTAATGAAGTTAAATCACGACCGTGATCATGATTCGGCGATCATTGTGATAAATCACCGTTAGTGATTTTGCACGCCATCTCTAGTGTTCACGTTTGATAAACATTGCAACCAATACCGTTTCCTTTTTTGAAAATCATAAAAATCCCTAGGAATATTGTTCTATCATTAAGGCCCAAACGCATTGAAATCATTATCATAATTAGTGATGGGCACCATCGACTAAAAACTATCGACTAAGTCGATAGTAACCAACGACTATTTTCAGACGACTAAATTTAGTCGCTTGAACTATTGAGCTATTGATCGCTATTGACTGGATCTTGATTATTTTCTTCGCGATGCAAACCAATTGTAATTTTTCTATATATTTTTTTATGCACTACCAAGAACTGTGCAAATTATTACTTATAACGTAATTGATTTTCATAAAAAATTTAAAGCAGTTATTTTTTTAAGTGCCAATATTTAATAGCTTACAAAAAATCGAATATTAGTAATTGTTTAAACAAACTTGTTTACCACTTATATTTGTGAAACTCTATCTATGAACTAATGCGTTTCCAAAAGGTAAATACACCAGTGGTGCTGAAAAGTTGATGACATAATCTATACATAAGCTATAAAGCAAAATTTCAGTCGACTGAGAACTATCGATTAAATAGTCGATATTATATTGCGACTAAATAGTCATTACTCGATAGTTTAATTTAGTCTGAAAGAAATATAGTGAAACGCGTAGTCATTTGAGGGTACGGGAATTTAGCTAGACTACATATAGCTATGTATATAGCTGGATATAATAGACTGCGCGGTCTTATGGTAGGGATGAAGTCGGCACAAGAAAGAGAGGACAATAACTGGAGTAACTTTCCATTCAGTCTAATGGATTGTTGGTGGGGGATTCTCCTACAGGTGTAGTGGAAACACTTGCTGCGTGCAGCATTTTTTCTCCTCATCGCCCTCCAGTCGCTTTCGCCCCTCCCACTGCGATGTGCGAACAAGAGAGGGGTTACTCCAGCGCTACTTCTGTCCTTCGGTCTCAATTCATTCTTATCATAAGACCGCGCAGTCTATTATATATGCTATGAGCTCACCATACCATTTGATAAATTGGGTTGCCATTCTTGTCTGATGGAGTTTTTTAAATGCCATAGACATGTATAATAGACTACGCGGTCTTATGGTAGGACTGAGGTCGACACAAAAAAAAGAGGGCAATAACTGGAGCAGGTACTTCTCTTTCTAATGGGACTCAGTGGGGATTCTCCTACGGCTGTGTGAAGACATTGCAATGCGTGAACTATCCCTTCTCTTCAACGCCCTAAAGGCCTTCCTCCCCTCCCTCTGCGATGTGCGAACAAAAAGGAGTTACTCCGACATTACTTTTGTCCTTCGGTCTCGACTTCAGCCCTACCATAAGACCGTGCAGTCTCTTAATATGCTATAGAACAAACACATGGAAGTTTTTAGTGTAATCCATATGTTGCAATGAAAACAGTGCTTACTCCACCAAAATATCGGGATTGGTCGTAAACGTGATGGGTGCTTTTATAGAGACATGATTGGACAATAACTCTTAAAAGAGATCTTAGTGAAGGCATTTCGTCTCCCGATTCTGATCATTCTTCGTCACGGATACTGTCGTTTCGAGTTCTCAACGATCACTTTAAATTGAAGAACAAACAGAGCGGTGGGAATTATTGGCCGGGTTGTCTGATTTTAGTTTGTGACGTCATGCGCAAAACAGTTCATTCCTTATCGCCCCCGTATATCTATCCAGCTGTCCGTGGTTTGGCAGTCCGGTGAACGAATTTCTCAGGGTAATCGTTACGTAGGTTTTTCATGCTGGTGGCCTTTTTTCTCGTGAACGGGACGAGCGGAAAATCCAAGGTGTCAAACTATCGACACGCGACCGAGTGCCAATCGGGGACCTGCTGGTAGAACTAATTTTGAACAACCTATAACGGTATCCGTGCGGATAGTGTGGCCTTCGGACTGACAAAAGGCAAAGACGTACGCAGCAGAAACAACTGGCGTTGTCGTGTACACGACGAGGTCGTCGGAGTAACCGTCGCGCGGGCTCGTGATTACAATTTCTCCGAATAAAAGGATCAACCGTGAGGCGTAGACTGCTATCGAAACGTTCCAAAATCCATCCGTATCAACGATTTGGGAGCGACGAGCCCATTCGTGAGGGATGTCTACCCCTGCAAGAAGGAGATTAATGAGAGATTTTAAAAGGTATATAATGCATTATAACATTCTTATGTCATCGTGTTCATGGTTTTCTTTACCGCCATTGTAAATGGAATTTTCTATCCACTATTTTCTTCATCCGTAACCTTACCGCGCGCACGGTCCACATCCTTCGACGGGATGAAGAACGAAATACGAGTGTTACACACACGATCCTCGAACGTCATCGTGAACCGTCTCGCAAGAAGTTATTATTAGGAACGTCGTGATCGTTTACTGCGTTTCATTTGTGATTTCTATCCTGAAAGTTTTCAATGGTTCACCGAGAAATCAGGAAAACGTTCGCATTTATCATTTCACTAATGTGGTGAGAGTCACGCACTATTTGAGAACGGATGGTTTTGTTTATATTGTGACTTTCTTATAAAGATTAGAATTGGCATCTGATTGATCTATAGTAATCAGCTTTGCAACGTAAATAAACGCACATTTTTATAAACACAATGTACATTGCTAGTGTTTTTATTACTTTTTTTTTCAATTTAATTATATTGTAAACATTGCATTGGGAATCTATGCAAAGTTATGTTACTTTGAGTTGTTTACTGTGGAATGAAATATGCAGTTTCATGCGATTATTCTTGTTTATGTAGTGAACGATAGATAGATGCATAAGAATATTTAAAGTTTACGCTAATCTATGTATAGGACATGTTGAAAAAATGTTTTATATAAAAAGGCATTGGCATGACATTGAGACCAGAAGGATATCTAAATTTATACTTTATATTGAAAAAGTTTTTGGATAAGAAAAACCATTTTATGAATGTGTGTTAAAGGCAAGCATAATAGATGACTGCTTTGAAAAAATTTGCATTTAATGGGCTGTCTGTAATGAAATATTTATGTGAATAGATTACAAGAAGATCCACCCACTGGAGTATCAGGAGCACCTACAGACAATAATATTATGATATGGAATGCAGTTATATTTGGGTAAGCTCAAAGAAACACATGTAAGATCGACAAGATATGATTAGTTCATTTCTTGTTATTTTTAATATAATAATTTTTTTCAGACCACATGACACTCCGTTCGAAGATGGTACCTTCAAACTTATAATAGAGTTCACAGAAGAATATCCAAATAAACCACCTACAGTGAGATTTGTTAGTAAGATGTTTCACCCCAATGTGTATGCAGATGGAGGCATTTGTCTTGACATCCTGCAGAACCGTTGGAGCCCTACATACGATGTCTCTGCTATCCTAACATCCATACAGGTATTGTAATCATTTACCAAATTGTCTCACTTTATGGCATAGAGTATCACATCCCAGTCCTTCATAGAATTTGTAATCCCTTGACATTAAACTCTCATCGCTGCATGTGTTTCAATAAATATACATTATACATTGAATCTGAAACAGGCTAATATGATATTCAGCCTGGAATAGTAAGTATAAAATTAATAAAAAAAACCACAATCTCTGCAGGAAATTAAAAATTTTTTTTTATCTGATTGACTATTGAAGTTCTTTTCCCTTTACTCTGTGTTACCTTATTTTTAGTCCTAAAATGCTATATCATGCTTGTATTAAGAAGTTGCAAATATGTTTGGCATGGCAAGTATTTCCTAATTGTAAAAGAAGATAACTGGAAAAAGAATATGAAATGTGTACATCATTAAACTAGCGTGTGCTTAATTTTTTTTTTAAATATTTAGTGATTATATTTGTTGAAATATACGATTGTACCTATTTCTGTCACTTTTTTTCATAAAAACCATAAAATTTCGCACGTTTTTGTCTTAACAGCGGTTGCAATTCAGCTAAGTCTGATTCATTGGATTCAAAATTGTTTGCATACGTATATCTATACATACATAATGTTAGCGTAAAATTGTGCTTGTAATTTGTTTACCTTGACCACAACTGTAATTTCTAATCACCAGTACTGAGTAAAATGTCATTTACTTATAAATTATGGCCATACATCATTACAAACGTAAATAAGCAAGAAAATATGAAAGAATGTTTTGTAATGAGTACGACTTATATATGGTTGCAGTCGCTGTTAAGTGACCCGAACCCGAATTCACCTGCCAACTCAATGGCAGCGCAACTGTACAAAGAGAACCGACGCGAGTACGAGAAGCGAGTGAAGGCTTGTGTGGAGCAGAGTTTTGTGGATTAGTCGCGGGCGTTTTCACGATGCTTTTGCAGCATCAGACAACCACCTACAGCCATCAGATACAGTGGAGAACGTGCAGCCTTACCGAGGAGCTAACGCTAAAACATTTAGCATGTTTCTTCCTAAAGCTCTAAAGAACTACCACGATGTGCAACATTAGACCGAATTTTTACAATGTTGAATAATAAATTATTATAAAATTGTGTATTTATTTATTTCGATATTTGATAACATGAAATTAGTACTATTAAACATTAGAGGATAATTAATACTTGGCGCTTTCGTTACTGTGCTACAGAGGCATTGTGTTTCATAAGCACAGAACTGTATTTCAATTAAATTTTAGTACATATAGTACATAAATTCACTTATACATATTATATATATATATACATATATGTATATATGTATATATACATACCACATACATAATAAATGCATAATTTCACTTTATAGTCTAATGGTTTTCTTTAACCTTTTGTTGTTGTTTAAACATGTCGAATGAATCAATTGTTGTAGCGTTGCCTGTACGTTGTAAATATTCAAAGTCTACAAAATATTTGTTGCAGTCCCTTTTGGATGAACCAAATCCAAACTCACCAGCCAATTCTTTAGCGGCACAATTATATCAAGAAAATAAACGGGAGTATGAGAAGAGAGTAGCAACTGTTGTTGAACAGTCTTGGTTGAACTTTCAAGAAAGTCACACGGAAGATCCTCGCTGACATTAAGTATGGTTCATTTGTGATTTCATGAGATCTATTCTATACCAGTTTCCTATGTCGTTTTATTGAATGTGTGGCCAGAAATATTTTGTTTCTTGTCACTGCCAAATCTGTACATTCAATGCTCCATTGTTCTACATAAATTCTTTTTTTGCGACTTTGAGTCACGAAAGCTGTCTGGATTTAATGCCAGAGAATAAAAACATTTATTTAATTTTGAATATGTTTCAGATGTATAAAACTGTAGAGCACTGGAGTGACGTGGAATCGCACTGTGAACTTATGTGATCTTTACCTATAAGTATAAATAAAACATGTATGATTTTACTCATTATAATTAGATTTTAGGTGTCCTTACACAACAAAATTAAAAAAAAAAATATGCGTATACATACCGGGTTACAGCATTAATCTACGAGTAACAGCGATACTTGATTGTAAAAGGGCCTTTACGAAATAAGTTTAAAACGGATCAAACAATAAAAACATTACTAGCTTACTGATATATTCTAAAAAGAAATATATCGCAAAGTAGTTTGCTTTTTTGTGCACAGAAAGTAAATGTCAGTGTATAAATAACATTGTACCTACAGTCAAAAATGATAACTTTTGTCAAAGGAATACTACTGAATATTTGTAATTTCCTAATAAAGTTGAAACGACATTAGTAAGAATATGTACTAATTAGTATCCTTCCTTTATAAGTCGTTTACCATACAGGAAAGGAAGGTAAAAAAAAATTGCAATGAATGCTATAATAAGAATTAAGATTGCTAATGAAAACATTCAGTTTATTACAAACACGTTTGATAAAAAAACTTTTCTTACAACTGTGCAAAACTCATAAATTGCTTTTATAAAACAATTCAGCTTGATATTTACGTTTATACTTAGCTATAAAAAAATAGCTTGTCAAATACATTGTACATTATGTACCTACTAACCAGAATCTGTATTCTGAAAATACAATGTTTCTATGTACAAAGTAAATTTTATCATTGGTAAAAGAGTAGATACATAAATCGGAATTAGACATTAGAGTGTTGCATAGAGATTCAATGACTTTCATTTATACACATTACTATGTTTTATATCAAATACATGATAATCACTTACAGTGAATCTACAACTATATTTTCTATACAATTATACATTTTACAAATAATACAACAGAATTCTACCTATGTTACTTAACATATACTGATATAATAATAATTCTTAATAAAATTATATGCATAACAGTTGTATGGATTAAAAAAATTATCAATATTGAACTATTTTATTTATGACACAATTGATACTACAAAATGTTACTTTTGTTCTTTAATACTGCTAACATCTTCGAAAAATAAAATGTATATTATGGTTGAATACATGTTATTTTCTCGAAACATATATAGGCCCAATAATTTAATTGCATTTTAAATAAGTTTAGACGAATTTCAAAATATGTGCAGTAGTAATCAAGATACCTATTTCATTCGTATTTAATATTTTCATGTCATAATATTTACAATAACGAATATTATACAAATATAATTTATCTCCTGTAGATAATTATTTGATAGTTCACACGCATATTTATACATTAAAATATTTAAGAAACCAAACAAGTTCATCCAGTTTATCATGAGAGTACTATTATTTTTTTCATTAGTTGTCAAAAGTCAAACAATATATTTAATAGGACCATAAAAATTGTACTTAAAATTATGAAGTATCATTTAAAACGATTTTGTGGTTTTAATTAAGTATTCCAAAGTTTGAATTGCTCACCAGCTTTCTCCTGCTACGATTTCTCCTCTTTCTCCTTGTTATACCTTTCTAATTCTTTTAAAAATTGTGCTTTTGGCTTCATGACATTTGGTCTGTCCCCTCGACATTTTGGACAGAACCATTTACCTTTTGGTTTAGTACTTAATGAAACACATGAGAAATGAAACCATTCTATAGGACATAAATCATTATCACACAAAATCATTTCCCCATATGATATTTGATCGCAAAGACAGTATGTTGGTTCATCTGGATCTATTGCAAGATCATCTTCTGGTGGTGGGGGAGTGTCTTCACGATGCTGGTTTTGCTGATTACCCTGTTTAGACTTCCTCTTCTTCTTCTTTCCAGTGTTAGTAGTGGTTGTTTTCTTTTGATTACCATTACTTGCATTGGACAAAGAATTCGAACGTGTTTCTGTCATTACGATCATATCCATTGTATTGGAGGACTCTACTAATGTTTCTGTTCTTGTTCTTCGAAGCCTCTTGGTTTGTCTTTCTGAATTATTTGCATTGCCAGAAGAATTTGAATTTACATTAGCATTTGTATCCCTAATAGATTCGCTGCTTTCTTGTTCTTTTCCAAAATCTGTCAATAATTTGAGAAAAAAGAATTAGCATAACATTACAAATGTTTATATACATGATATATAGAAACTGTACAATAAATGAACATACCAAGGTTACGATAATCTAGATCTAGCTGCCTGGATTTATTTTCGATTAGATCTTGTACTTGTTGAACTATTTGTAACTTCTCATCCCCAATTTCCTTAGCAGCAATCAATGCTTGTTGCACTCTTAGCAATGCTCTCCTCCTAACAGCCAAGTCTGTGTCATTTCTCAATGCCTCCTGCTGTTGATCCACTTCCCGTAAATAAGCTACGTTAAATAAAAGAAGAATAATGAATCATTTGCAACTTTCCAGTATTTCATTCAATTACAAGAAAATAGAGATAAAATACTAAATCAATTACAAAGTGTACAACACTTAAAAATACAAAAATACGTTCTTAGTCTATGATTGTTTATTTAAGAAATACACGCAGATTTTTAATACTATTCTGTTTCTTTCACATTTTCATTGTGCGTCAGATATTCTGACCACGTAGATTACACTTTGATTAAACATTCACAGATTTTCAAGTCACGAAAACGGAAATATATCGAATGCAAGTCGTCGAACGTACATACACGATGTGTTCTTTTAAAGGTTTGTTAATTTCAATTACTTTGACAAGTAGCGTCGAGCTCACGAAGCCGGGAAACATGTCTCTGTAAATCGTTCGGCAAATTTTCCACACAGTCCAAATAATTCTCGATATAGGTTGCGGAATATAAAGCCTCCACTACGGCTTGGTTTAACATGTTCGCTCTCTTACGAATTCTCCTCGACAGTTAAAAAATGTTTAAACAGTTCGTCCGTAAGTAAAATTTTCAGTAACGCTGCATCAACTTTTCGAACTTTTCGCACCATTTATACAGATATTCAGGATCAATTAATTGACAACTACACTAATCTGGATCGATAGAACCGCAGGAAATGCAGGTAAACTGTTGTGGGGCTCTTTTCGGATACTCCATCTGTATTTGTCATGAGAGTCAAACATGGCCGCCAAGTTCTCAGCTTGTTCCACAAATTTCTCTTCCAAAACACGATACAAAACATTCTGGTAATACCAGTTATTTCGTTTCCAAATACGTATACACGTGTATCGGAATAAAATATAAGAAAATTTTCCGATTACATACTTAAAATGTAATTTTCTATAACTCATTCACAACAGGTGTACAATATATGTATAACAAAACTGGATTTTATTAAGTTTTGCTAACTTTAGAATAATAGCTTATACTGACAATCATAATTATGTATTTTTTTTTATAAATTGCATGTACATTTCTCTACATTACATCCCGAACAAAATGCTTGTGCACACCACTCTGAAAAACTAAATTATCGGTCAAAATACGATCTCTTCCTCGTATCGTGTTATTCAATGGTGTACAATGCACTTTGTATTTTGGCCAACAGTGTTATATTATTTTTTGAAACAGTGTAATTAATATTTAGTCTTTTTGTATTTAATGTAAAGTTATTGAAAAAACTTATTCTGCCATCTACGACAAAATGACCAAAGTAATAGTCAAGTAGTACTATTTTTCAATCCTAGATGACGCATTGTGGTCCTTTAGTGCGTATGTAGTGTATGTACCGTAGTTATTAAATATGTAACATAAACAAAATTATATTAATGTACACTACCAACGTAGGTTGACTGTATAGACAATCTGATGCCACTGAAAAAATGGTTGATCACAATTTATGCACTTTCTTGTATTTTTCAAAATATTTTTCAAGTCAGTGAATATCATGGTACAAGAAGGAACTCTTGTTTTAGCTGGTTTGGGTTGATGCCGCTAGGGCAATCGGAGTGGGGATAACAACTGTTTTCATCATTCGTGTAAAGAATGTATTTTAGTCAAAGGAGAACATGAAACTATTTACTAGAAAACATACTTTAGATTCATATATCTTAACTATCAATATATAAAAAGGAATCTACAATTTAAACGGTAATTTGACTAGCCCTCTGACGTCAGAACTTGAGGCACGGACTACCAATCCCGTCTCACAACCCTATTTGATTTCGTTCGGTAGAAGAAAGAGTCGTGTTTGGGTTCTTGTGTTGCCGCAAAATCCCTGTGACGGTTACTGCAAAAATACTCGTTCCCCTGTTTTCAAGCATTGCGAGAAAATGACGTCCACTGGTACCTTTCAAGGATTCGGCGAAGTGAAGAAGAATTCCAGCAAGTAAGTGACATGCTTGTATTTATGCATCTTCTATTCGTAGAAATATCGTATGGAAGATTTGCTGCCTTTGTCCTAATGGTGCATCCTTTATTCATATGAAAGGTTAAAAAAGACAGAGGCAAAACAGCAAACAGCACCGTTTGCAAGTAATAATATCTTTATTGTGAATTAACTATCATTGTGTATGTTGGAAATTTCGATCATCTGGTGGTACAAATTTTATTATTCTAGTCTTTTTGCTTTTGTTACGATTGATATGTTTTAAAGGATGATTTTTGTTTAAAATACGAATGTTGAACGCTTATCTCTGATAATAATAACGAAAATAAACGATTGGCGTCTTATTGGTTGCCGACTTTTTTGTTATTCACGCTGCGTCAGTTTGAACCGGTCTTAACCGGACAATCCATGTTCTTTTTTTGTGGTGGTAAGGTTTTGGCAAATTCTAAAACTTATGATGATTGGAAATATTAATTTTGTAATTCACGTTTAAGGGACAATTTGTGCTTCGAAGTATACACAAAGGTTAACAAAACATGCATTCTACACGGTATCTTTACGATAACCGGAGATGAACTATGAGTTCATACGCGTTTTTCATTGACAGGTGTCTTCATTGTTCTTGGTATTAAACTGATGCTGGACTTCGTTAATTTTCAAACACATTACTGTCGCTAATGCAACAAAAATCTCCCAAATTTTTCTTCTATCTTTCTTAAATTTTACAACAAAATGTCCCAGAAAAATACAGTACTAAATGTGTCAATGCTTTTGTTCGATAAATTAAATTTGTCACATTAGGTTAACTGTATTCAGGTAAAAGTAAACACAATGCTGATCAATTTAATTATTGCACTTGGTTATTGTAGAGTCGGTAATGTCTTAAGTATGTTGCAGTCGTAAGTGCGAAGGAATGGCAACAGATTGCGTTCCATGCACCACTCCGCGTGGAGTTTTTACTAGTTTTTATACATCCGTTGTGGTAATATGTGTTTAGAAAATGTACATATTTTTATTTAATGAAACTACATAATTAAGCCAGAATTTGGCAACTTACCCTGAACACGACATTTACTGAATTTTAACGTTTTATTGACAATAATATTAACATAAAAAGACTTGCCCGTTTTAATATTTTTTCGTATGTAAAAATAAAAAATTCTGTTTTTCGACCGTAATCCACGAGTTAAACGAGTTTAACAATAAAATGCGGAATATGGTTTGCACTTTATACAATATATGTATACAAAATGTAAACGTCATAATTCAGAAAGCAGTGTCGTGTGCATAATCCTTTCCTACTTTGTAAGGTCTTGGTGAGTGAGTTTACCTCTGCGAGTGTCACGTTACGAGTCTGTCGTTTTTGTAGAAAAAAGCTCGTGGTTTACCGCATAACGGCTAAACATTACAGTGCATGTTTTGAATAAACGGACCGGTTGACTTTCCGGTCAGAATTAACAATAAAGCAGAAAAAGAATGTAAAACATAAGAAACGGTTAAAATTTCGAAAGAAAAAAGTATACGTAAATAATAGTACACAATTTTATACTATAACAACATAACAAGTTTTAACCACATATCTGTTACTTTTATATACAACGCGTATGAGACGCGGATACGTTCAAATTACCGGATGTCCGGTAGCGATGATAAATGAAAATGACAGCCGGCTAACCCTTTTCCCGTATACGTCCCGAAAGAATAAATCTTTTTTTTTTTGTGAATTTCTACCTCCAGAATACAATTGTGCGTTGCATGAGAACCATTCGTTAATGGTGTCTTTCTTTGGGCTGTAAATATTTTCTTCGGAACGCGAATGCGAATAATACGGACTCTTCCGAGAGACCGAGTCACGGCTGGTTCCAGGCTGACTCACCCGACGTCTCGTAGTTCCTAGCGTGCCACGTAGAGGCGTGTACATTTAGGCCCGAAGCTTCGTAATTGCATAGGTATATACGATGCACTGCCCACCCTTTGTTCTCCTCCTCTTTCCGTTTCTCTCACGCGCGCTCTTTATTTTATCCATTTTTGTGTCCCCCGCTGATTTTTTGTTGTTCGGACTTCAGCGACAAGGGGGACACAATTCTGGGAATCGCATGACCATAGGGGAACATTAATTTTGCATATGTCCGCCACCGTCATGTGCGTGCATTGCTCGTTGTTTGGATACCATTCATAATACAAGTATACCTTGGACTGATGCAACCGTATTCTCCTGGATTAATGTTTACGAAGTAATCCGAATAGCTTTAACCTTTATCTTGTAATTGTTTTGCTATGTCGCATCTTGTTACATTTGTTCAGGGTTTATTGCAAATTAAAGTCTTGCGAGTAGTACTCGGTATGAAATATTTTGAATAGAGGTATAGAACATTCCCCACGATACGCTCCGATTTAGCGGACAGTGTGCAGGTGTTCGACGAGTGACTAAGTACATATAATATTGTAGAAAAACTACATTACGAGGACTTATAGGCGTTATACATACAGGAATGCTATTTATCTGTAGCGTGGACATATCTAGAGGTAAAAGTAGGGTGATCAACTGTTTCGTTTAACAAGCGTATTTTAACACGAACGCCCAATGTCATTACTATTATCGCGTCCCGATCGTCGTCCTGGCCGAGCCCTATAAGGTAAAGTGACGCAAGGTATTCCGGGTAGGTAGAAAATCCGTGAAGAGTGTGATACAAAGGATAAATATAACCGCAGTCCGTCCCACTGGCCCGAAGGTGTGTATCCAAAGGGAGTCTGACTCTTCGTAGATATTTTGTCTGTGAGAGACTATAAGGACGTGTGTGCTCCGTACCGGTAGGCTGGCCGTTCGCGCGCGCAGTCTCGGACTGTGAATAAAACCGGCCTAAGGCCCTGTACACACGTGCACGCGAGTATCATTCTCCCTACGCAAGTTCGCAACGAGACACCACGGGGGACGCCGCCGCGACGCAGTCGATTCGAGCCGTCAGTGGATTTCGCGATTGTACGGAACACGACGCGGCACCACGCCACTTCCTATCGTGTGTGTTTCTCGACTTTTTAGAGGTGGCGCCTCCTCCTCGTGCGGCGTGCGTTAAGTTCCCTTCGCGATTCTGTCGTCTCGTCTCTCTCGAACGTGGTCGGTGGGGCGTGCGCGCGACAAAGACAGAAACGGAAGAGTATCACAGGCGGCGCGCGGTGACCCAGCCTGGACTGACCCACACACACGTCGTAGCCTGTCCGCGACGCGCATAACCGGCACGAATTGCCGTCGTCCCGACGTTGAATATCTTTCTCGTGTGTCACAGTGCGACGATACGCGTGGATTCAGAGAGGAAACTAGAGGAATCGTTTTTTTTTTCCACGAGTGAACGAAGAAAAATGTGGGCCGGACAGGACGATACTCAACGATTCAAAACCAGGTTCGTACCAACATTTTTTCCACACGCCACTTTGTTCTTCTTGTACAGTGAAGTGTGAGCGGCGGGAGGGATATCGTGATGTTCTTTTCCTGTCATTTTGACAGACACGTTGGTGTAATACACTTTGGAAATGCCTTTCTCTTTGAGTATGCACGATCGAGAGAGACAAGTTCGACGACCTGGTCTCTATCGATAGATCGAAACCGTGGTTCTTCTGTAAATGTGATAAAGTGATTACAGCTGGCCGAATCGATGTGGTTTGCGAGCAATGTCGGGACGGTTGCGAACCAGCGGCAGGCGCGTTTGCGTTTTCCCCGCCTGTTGCTTTTCTCGCGTGTGCTCCCTGTTACCGACCGAGCACCACAAGGGAGCCCCTCCCCTGACAGAAAATTTCGGAGTTTGTTTTTACGGTTTCTTATCTTCGCGGTGGGCCATAAATTCGTGAAACCTATCGCTCGAGGCATCTGTCACGTTTCCGTGAATATGTGACGCATACCTGCCGGCCACGGTGGTTTCCACGAACATATGGCTCGACAGGATAAAAAGTTGTGGATTTTTTGTGTCATTTCAAGGGGTCACGATAGTGGGGATAATTATCTAGATTAAATTTCGATATGCGTACGATCGATAATAGTTCAGTTAGGAATATATACAGGGTGGGAACACTTTCGTGATCAAAGATATAATATTAATCGAAAGAGAAACGTCACTATCATCAAACATTAAAAAAAAAAAAGAACGTCTCTTTGTTTCACTATCCGACTGGTTGTTGGTCGGATATTCTCGCGGAAGCCCACCAACTAGTCTCAAGATTATTCCAAATGTGATTTCCTGACGCGACAAATTTCGATGTTAATCGTCTCTTCGATTAACGGCTTCAAGGAGAACTGGAATCGAGGGGCGGCCGGGGCCCCATCAGTCCAGTTTCTATTTCTGCGATCGCGAGGGAACAAGAACGTAAAGATCGCGGTCGTTTCCAGACACAGCCACGAAACTGCACAAAGGTTAATGCCAGTGTAACGAGAGCAACGAGTTACCGGGCACCAGACGGACGTGCTTCTTTTCCACCGCCTCGTTTCGTTTACAGGCACGAGTCACGCTACTCCTCGACCACGGAATTTCGAATTTCATGCTTCGAAACTTTAACCCCTCTCGGACTGTCGAGGCGGTCGTCGTTTCGTGAAAATATACCGGTTATTCCTGAAATAATAAATTATTTCTGTAGTTTTTCTTTTGCTTTTTATCGAGTGCTTTTATCCAAAGAGCAATTCTGTGTCCACCTCGAAAGTAACTCCATGTGTTACAAAGGACGGCCGAAGTCTCTGGTTCCCCGGTTGGAAACGAACGAGACGGAATCGATGAATCATTGGCGTCGATAAGGCGATAAACAATAATGAGTACAGATGTGCAACAGTGTTGGGAATATAAAATTGTTTGGTAACGCGTAAGCTTTCTTACAACAGTCGATAACGTGTTTCGGGCAATATTCCTTATCACCGTGTACGAGAAACGATGAGTCATAATGGGTAGAGGATGTAAGTTGTATTTGGACACGAGTATCAATGCATTTGAGTGCTAGTGATGCGACACCTTATGTGATTTAACACATATTCTTTTAGTGTAGATTTTTCATTTTATAATAGATATTGTTTTCTTTTTGCGTTACATTTATATACACAGGGTCCTCACTTTTGATAAGCACGCCCCTGGATACTTATGCCTTGGCGTGCGCCATTAGAACACGGAACACACTCGACTGTCAGTAATCGATATTAATTGAGATATATCGTGGCCATCCGCTGGATACGTGTGCCGAGACCCGTTCCTGGTTTCTCTTCGTACCTTTCTTCGATTATATTATTACAATATGGGTACGCGTTTTCGTTACACAAAGCGTCGTCTGTCAACAGGGCCGAGCCAGCTGTGACACGGTTCACTTTGTCGTGTGGGTAGAACTTGTTTTTAAACAAGAACTCGGCACCACCGAGAGCTTTCATTCGACCGGATTTCACTAAATATCATATCGAACAAACGCGTATGCCGCTCGACCGCTGGTACATACATGTGTCCGACAATTGCGTTTGATCTTGTTTAATGACCGAACTAGTTTTAACGATCATTTACTGGAATATGTCCTGTAGTAAAGTATCAAATATTCGAAACATTCGAATCATTCGAATCCAATAACTCTGCCCCTATTATTCACCGGTTTCCATTCCCAAAAAACGTGTCTGACCATTGTCTATCGTTTCTACTAATAGAAATCTCAAATAAGTACGCGTAGGTTAACCCTCGGAGGGAGGACGTTTTTTAATGTCCGTACAACAAGGGTGTCTTACTTTGCTTTTTTTTATACGACCCAATATGAACAACTCCTAGCTCAAACTCGATTTATATGTTAATGTGTTACATAGAGCTATCAAAAACACGGGTCAGTTGGACCCAAACACTACTCTGTGACGGTTAAACGAAAGCCAATCATATTGTACATACAGAACCCATATATTTCGTAATTAAATTATACGTTTTCTGCGTTCGACCTGCAATCATTTGAAATTTGCACAAACAGCCAATTCATAACGAATCACTCATTCTCGATTGTACCACGACAATTGGACCGCCCCTGTGTCCCTCGAATTACAAGTTCTCGATGAAAATCAGTCTCCCTTTCCCTGGACTCCGCCCCTAATTCATTGCTTTCAATCTCCAACGAACACCGGTCGCGTTTCAAAACGCATCACCGCGGCTGGTCGCATCGGTTCAGCTGATCGTATCGGTTCAGCCCCTCCGGTTACTGATCCATCCATGTCGGTGTGTCTTGTCTTGTGGAGTGGGGTAAGACACCGACGGTGCGGTTGATCATTAAGTTCCTTAACGACGGGGTCAGCGTCGTCGTTCCGTTTTATCCGCGTGTGTTCGCCGTCTGTTTTTTCCGTTGCATATCGGGCATCGACCTCTTTCCGCGACGGCGACATTTTTTCTTTCTTTTTTTTTTTTCGACGCCGCCCGCTTTTTCCCCCGGTTTCCCCGGTTGCTAGTTGCGCGTCCTCCTCTAATTGCCGTCAATCCACCACCACGGAGAGAAAGAGGGAGGAGGCGGAGAGCCCCACTGCCCCGAGCCGTCTGAAAGCCACTCGACATAATAAAGTCTAGTAGCCCGTGTCTCCTCGAACTTGATCGCGTGGGCGTTTCGCGCGATGGTGATCGTCCGCCACCGTGTTTCACGTCCCCGCGAGCGGATTCCCCGACGATCTCGTCGTCTTATCGGGTCGTTGGTCGCCACGTTAAAGGACACAAAGAGAGGAGGGCTCCGGTCCTCTGACCGTAACCCACGTTCCTGAGATCGTTTATCTTCGCGCTTGGTCACGATCATGCGCCCGACATTGATAATGAAGCGGTCTCTGGATTGATGGCTTGATAGATTGGTTTCTTGTTGCTCTGGAGATATCCGAATGAGAGATTGTTGCGGATCGTGTTGAACATTGTTTCGACGGTTGGACGAATTGGTTTTGACAAGGAACGGTGTATTGTGTTAAGGACGTTCCCAATGTAGGCGATGAGAAGATTTAGGAGGGGGAGTCTAGTTATTCTATTTTCTTTATTTTCAAAATATTCAAATTCTTATTTTCTTTGTTTTTGGAAATTTTGATAATGGCGATAGTTTGCCTGAAGGGGGGTGTTGAGAACAATACAGGAATGCTATTTATCTGTAGCGTGGACATATCTAGAGGTAAAAGTAGGGTGGTCAACTATTTTCTTTATTTTCAAAGTATTCAAATTCTTATTTTCTTTATATTTGGAACTTTTGAAAATGGCGATAGTTTGCTTGAAGGGGGTGTTGAAAACCAAACCTCGAAAAAGTTGGGAAATTATGATTTATGGTTTGGGAGAAGATACCATGGTGTTTTGATACTGGGAATGGTAGAGGATCAGCAATTGGAGACATTCGCAATTAAAGTTAAACTTTTACTTGAGGTTAAATTGGAGAGCTAAATGAGGAGATTAGAGGGCGTGTATTACAACGAGCACGGCGTTTTAAGGATGCGTGGGATTGGAAGGAACAGTACCCATATCAGATGATAGAAAGTTGGCCCCTAACTAGTAAACGACCTGTCGCATAGATGAATAATCCGACGACTACTTTGTAATACTTTTAATAATACAACTGGGTGTTGTTTCTCGGCACCTTTTTGTAGATGGTGTGCCATTTACTGGCAGTTGAAGGTACATACTTAAAATGCTAGAGCTTCCAATATTCTTCGCTAGGTTGTGTTAACGAAAGAAAAATGAAAATTCGTTTCTGATGCATGTGGTCTGTAGTTAAAAGTTCATGTATGTAGGAAGATACATAGAAAAATAAAGTTCGAAACGTAGGGATAGATGAATCTATGTAGCAGTTAATTTTTGACGAAACACTGCAAAAAGAGAACGAAGAGACAGATTCTAAGCCATATGCAGTGTATAATCCTAATAGTTTATGAAATATTTAACAATAAGGTCTCATTCGACTGAGTTAGGCGGATGAACGAAAATGATTTCCATTCATTTCCATTGTTTTTAATCGGCACGCGCATTATTATTCCCAGGGTACCCAGGGCGTGTCGCGTTTCATTCGATACATCGACGTCGGGCTCTGTGCGCACGACGTGACGCGCGCGAAATGCAACACACAGACGAGCCAGAGCCAGGCCGCGTGGCTGTCGTCGGTGTCCTGTTGCAGTGGGAACGTTGCTTTTCTCTTGCGACTCGTTTCACCGATCCTCTTTTGTGCATTCTCGTGTTCCGTTCTCATTCGACCGGTTTTAAAAGTCTCTGCCGGGGACGCGAACGCGCCCTGAAACGCGCTCAGCTTTTTTCGACCGAGTCTCGACGATCATCCCAAAAAGATCCTCTAGAAAAGATCCTCCAGAAAAGATCCTCCAGAAAAGATCCTTCAGGAAAGGTCCCACAGGAAGGGTGCTCTAGAAAAGGTCCCCCAGAAAAGATCCTCCAGAAAGGGT